ACCAGAGACAGAGTGGGGAACAGAACAGGCAGACTGACTGAAATACACTGCTAAGGGGAGCAGCGGGCGAGACGAGAGGTCTGCTTCACCATGTGGGTTTCTCCCTGGCAGGCTGGGGATTGAACTCGTGCTACAGAGGCTGCGGATTGCTTCATAGTGGGGTGCTTAACCCCTTGCACCACCAGGGAGGCTCTCAAGTTTATTTTTAATGGAGAAAATAATCTCTGGTTCTTAGAACTTGGGGGTCATTTAGAAACCAACACCATAAAGCTAAGGAGATGTGGTTATATAGCTAAGCAGATTCTCTTCTCTCCAAATCATAATCAGCTTTAAAATGAGTGAAATTAAACAAAAATAACATTAGGGTTTTCATTGTACATATTGATTTTGTTTTTTCCCCCTTGTTAACAGAATGGAAGTATTATGGAAGGCTTAGCATTATGGAAAAATAATGTAGACAAACGTTTTGAGGGTGTTGAAGATTGCATGATCTGTTTCTCAGTCATTCATGGTTTCAACTATTCTCTTCCCAAAAAAGCCTGTAGAACATGCAAGAAAAAATTCCATTCTGCCTGTTTGGTAAGTCTAAAGAGAAATTAACTTGTATTTTATGTATATCATATATGTATGATCTATAACTTTGGAAAAGAACACATTGTCAAACTACTAATTGTAGTTAATGAAAGTCATTAAATTTTTTCTTCAAAATTTGTGAAAGTAATATACCTGGAATGGTATAGCATCAAAGCACTTTAATGAATGGTGTTTCTAATATAACGCTCAGCTTTCAACTCTTCATGGTCTTTTAAGATCTAGGCCATGAAGGAAACTGAAAGAAGTGAACTGAGGGCCATATGGCATCAGAGCCTTTTGCTTTCTTTCAACAGTATATTGAAAAGAAGTCAGGAATGTTCAGTTATTTTGCAGAGGCCTCTTTACGTACCTTGCTGATTGTGCTGATTGCATGAGCCTAGGTAGAAAGAATCATATTGTAGTCTCTGGATGTAATACTCAGTTGTATTGATTTTGGAGATGGAGGGAATAAAAATTTCATACTCTCATTTATTTTATCATTTTAAGATTACCTTAGGTGTATATGTTCTTTTAACATTTACAACCTTTTGTTTTTCAGTACAAATGGTTTACATCTAGCAACAAATCTACTTGTCCACTCTGTCGTGAGACTTTTTTCTGAGAATTTTCTTTTCCCTTGTAAGTAATTCCTGAACTAAGTCAAGCAAAAGGTGTGGATTGGACCCATCTTAAAGTATTGATGTGAGGAGGCCAGTGAGCATTACTTTTAAATAGGACCATCTCTGGAAAATTATTTTGGTTAATGTAATGATCCTAAAATCAGGTTTACTTATCTTTAGATTGCTTTGTAAATGTTTGGGAACCTTTTCTTTTACATAAGAATATTACATATTTCAGAGGAAAATATTTATATTAATAGTTTAATCTCTTTGTATATTTAAAAATAAATATGGAAAAGCCCTAAATTACAGAATTGGAATTTATGACAGTGTTGTACAATTGTATTATACTGAGGAACCTGTTCTGTTTATTGATCTGTGTTCTTGAACATCCAAGTGAGGCAGATTAATTGAGAGGGTTGATGTACATCGGCAGATATTTTAAGATTTATTTATTAGTTATGACAACAAAATTAATTAGTATTCTGATGTTTATAGATTATTTTAATGATAAAGATGACACTATGCTATTACTCTAGCTTAAACTACTTGAAGCATGCTGTGAAATCCTGTAAACTGAACCTTATGGTGCCTCCACTTATCAAGGGTTACAAGATTCAGAAAATTAAATTCACAACACTGACCTTTTTTTGTGGAAGAATTGCCAGGCATTAGTGAAACTTGAATTGCAAACTTGTCCACGAATTTATTATTCAGTTTACGTTTCCAGAGGATAAGAATTTGAGAGAAATAGGATTTAGATTATTCCATTCATGAAGCAGAGTGGTAATCATACCTCTGTTGAGAGGGAAGAAATTAGTGAGTATCTGTGAAATTTAGGATTGGTGGGAAAAAATAAAACATTTACTATGTTGCAAGAGGCTTTCAATTTTATAAGCAAATTTTCCTAATCTTAACTAAATTTAGTTACATTAGAGATTTTGGGGAAGCTGGTGTTTTTTTCTTCCAACTTCCAGGAGTTAAAGCATTTTAATATGAACTAAAATACAGTATAACTGGCAGAAGGTAGAACAGGTGAAAATCTGCCTCTTGCCACTGTTACCCTTAAAAATTCACCCAAAATAAAAATGTATGGAAGTGTGGAACTTGGAATAATTTTATTACAGTCTTTCATTGAAGAAATATTAGCATATCTAATAGCAACATTACTTGAGAAATTAGCTAATCTCTGTTGCAGATGTTTAATTGGCAAAAGCAACTTACATTAAATAAAATTACTGCTTACCATCAACTGGGTAAATGGTTATTATTGAAACAGTATGAATGTGGTCAGGGTACGGTAGTCGCGAGTGAAGTAGTACATGAGTTACAGATCTCTTGAGTTGTGTTTGTATATGCACTGTCCTAGTCCAGTTTTGTTCCAAATTTTCCTCTGTAGTATTTATTATCTTCTAGCCTTGTGGCTTACAGAGTCCAGTCTGTAAGTGAAAGGCAGACAGCAAAATTCTACTACCTCTTCTGACCCCTGTCTTAAAATATTTTCTTTCCATGTCCTCTAACATAGTAATCCCAAAGGATTGTGCTACTTCTCTGTGAAAGTTACACACTTTTCCTTTAAAAATGGTTTTATAATAAGATTTTCTTATAACTTTTCCAGTATTGGTACTACTTCCTGGCTTCTGACCAGACCCCAAGTAGAAAAGTAAAGGGAATAATGGAGCACTGTTTTTCCAGTAGTATTCGGGCATCAGTTTCTTGGTGAAACACTACAAGTGGATACTCCTCTTCAAACGTGTCTTTAAACACTTTTCTTCTAGACTTGTAAATACAACTGTAAAGCTTGGTACTGTTTATATACTAAAGAAAAAGCTTTCCAAAATAAGACTGAAATTCAGAGTATATTAAAGTTTTATTTATGCAGCTTTGACTACTCTAGATAGTATTCCTTAAAATTCTAATATAAGGACATTTAAAAATTGCATGAGATTCAAAGCCCATTAGCAAAGTTATTAGTTTAAACCCCAATGTAAATTGCAAGTTTTAGAATTTATTTTTAACTTATCACATGCACTAATGTATGTACATAAGTTTCTGTGACTTAGATAATTAATGATGTTAATAAGTTTTTGTGGTGTGAATAATTAATGTTGTAATTTGGTTGTTATACCATATGTGCCCATTAAAATTCTTTTTAATTACAAAATATTTCAAATATACAGAATATTATAAATGCCCTTGTACTCTTCACAAACTATTTTGCCATATTTGCTTCTGATTTTTAAAGAAATAAAATGTTACTCTTGTATTCCTCCCTGACGCCATCTTCTCCTCCTTCCCTTTCTAAAGGTCACCTACTTTTCTGAAGTTTAGATTCCTTCCTGTGTAAGATTTTGTATTTTACCAGATGTGTTTGTATCCATAATTAATACATACCAGCCAGTAAACAAGATCCTACTATATATATCTTTTGTAGGTAGCTTTTTTACTCTACATTACTGTGATTTAGTATCTCAATTTACTTACCACTTCCCCCACTAAAGTTCATGTCAACCTTTATCTTTTTACCATTTTGAAGACGCAAAATGTAGTCATGATGGTTCAAAATGTTGGTGCTGAGCACAGGCACTTCTGAAATGCAAAGTCTTATTCCTGGGACTCTTCATCAGCTGGAGAGAACAGTTTCTTGCTCTGAGAGTGCAATTCCAGTTGATGGTGAAAGAAGAAAGTGATATACTTTCTGTGATGCCATCAGGTTTACTTCTGTGTATGATCTGTTGTCCTGCAACCTTGCTGAACTTACTAGTTTTTTTTTTTTTAAGATTTATTTATTTATGCATAAAAGAGCTGGGGTACAGGCCAGAGATGTGGAAGGGGGTGGGGGTGAGAGGATCCACAAGAGACACTGCTGAGGGGAGCAGTGGGCAAGACAGGAGAGGTCTGCCTCGCCATGTGGGTTTCTCCCTGGCCGGCTGGGGATTGAACTCGTGCTGCAGAGGCTGTGGATTGCTTCATAGTGCGGTGCTTAACCCCTTGCGCCACCAGGGAGGCCCTGAACTTACTAGTTTTAATAGAAGTTTTTGTATGTGGATTCCTTAGGATTTTCAATATATACTAGGTCAGTTATTGACAAAAATAATTTTCTTTTCCAATTTGAATGCCTTTTATTTCTTATTTCATTTTTCCTAATTGCTCTGGCTAGAACCTCCAGTGTTGAATGTAAGTAGTGAAAGCAGGTATCTTCGATTTCTTCTTGTTTTCACTGCATCTTGTGCCCTCTATTTGCACATCCTTCACTAATGATTACTTGTGTCTTAAGTAGAATAGATCCACCAGGTTCTCATGAACTATGTCTATCAACACAGGTTATACCTCCCTTCTGAGAGTAGAGACTGGCGTCTCTGGTTCCAGATTCTTGCGTGAGCTACTGTTGTGAGACGCTCAGTTAGCACCAAGCCAAGTATTCTGATGGCCACTGGTCAGGCTCTTTGGTCCAATGTCTCTGTTTCGGGGGCCAGCTTATGACTAATGCAGCACTGAACATTGTAAGCGTCCTCGTCTCCTTTACTGAGACAAGGACGTTGCTCAGATCTATGACCATCACCGCACTTCCCCTTCCCCACGATCACCCAAGTAATGAGATTGCAAGAAGCAAACAGAAACACATGTTAAAGGGTAAAAGGTAGGAAAAAGCTGATCAGGTTGAAAAATGGAAACAGAAGACATTCTAAATAATAGAAATAGAATGGAGACAATAAAAATGTGAACATAAATTTAAATTTTTTTAAATAAAAAACTTTTAAATTATAAAAATATATAAAAATATATTATTATTGTATAAATATTACAATAATGTGAAAGTTTCTCCATTCCCACCCATTGTTTAACTTCCCAGACTTTCCTATATACACATTCAAACATGCCTTCTCTGACTTTTCAGAAATATACATATTGATAGTACTATTTTGCAGTTTGCTTTTTCTCACTCATAAGTACATTATGAACCCTTTCTGGTTCACTATATACCTGACTCATGTTTAGGGGCTGGGAATGTTACTCATGCTCTGTGGCATGGCTATACTATGATTTACCAAACCCTTTACTGATGGGACATTTAGGTTGACTTCATTGTTCTGCTATTACAGGTAATGCTGAGCTGAATCTTCTTTAATTTATAAATACCATTTACATATAAAATGTAAATTAGATCGCGTGTGTGTGTGTGTGTGTGTGTGTGTGTGCGCGCGCGCGCCTGTACAAATAAGATAGATCTCTCCTGGGTAAAAGGAACTCTTGATTCTACCTATGAACTCTTGATTCTATCTATGAATTTCTCATAATTTTACTCATTAAGAAATGATTTAGTTTCAAAATATGCTGAATACCTTCAGCTTCTACATATATTCAATATACATATATTCAATATATTCAATATAAAACATATCAATCAAAACATATCTCTAGATTTTTCAAGATATGCAGCAGACTGTACATTAAGACTTGGTGAACTTCAGGACTGATAGGATTTCTCCACCTGCTTGCCTGGAAAGTGCAGTGGTCCCTCGTAGACCTTTTGTCTTCATTGTTTTCAAAATTTCTTCTAAAATGAAAATTAAAAAGCAATATCCAATTAAATCACTTGATAAGGTATGTATGATCACCAAGATTAATAAGAAAGCCTACAGATTCTGTTCATTTGGGAAAACAATGTATCCAAGTAAATTTCTATAAACATAAACTTGGAGTTCAGACAGATAGGTTCTGCTGAGATTTTAATTTTCTTACATCATTGTTCATTTTTGTATATTTGATTTCCCCCTTGTGTGCACTCCCCGTAATTCTCCCACCACCAAGGCACCATGACCATCACCATAGTCCCTTGTGCTGTTCTGTCCCATTTTGGTCCTGCTCCCTCCTCCCCAGCGATATGCTTCAGATCTATGGTTTGTCTGCTAGTTTGTCTTTTTCCTGACTCCTTGTTCAGTTTCCCTATATTCCCCCTGTGAGACCATTTGATATTTTTCTTTTTCCTTCTTATTTTGCTTAGCATAATCCCTTCCAGCTCCATCCATGTTGCTGCAAATGGAATAAGTTTATCTTTTTTATCTCTGAGTAGTATTCCATTGTGTGTATATACCACATCTTTTGATCCATTCGCCTGTTTTGGGGCATTTAGGTTGTTTCCATATCTTAGCTATTGTAAATAATCAGACTGAATGGCCTGCTCTGCAGCAGTGGCCTACTCTGGACGCCACAGAAACATCAGTTACACTTGCTGTTACAGCAAGAGAGTCATGTTTTAGTTGCTTGGCACCAATCTCTGCCTTATACTCACTCCTCGTCTTGGATGTAAAATGTCAGTGGGTTAACTGTATAGTAAATGAAGTAACTTTTTTCAGGTTTATTGATTTAAAGAAAGCAAAACCGGGCCTCCCCCAGTGGCGCAGCGGTTGAGCGCTGGGCTGCAAAGCTGCCCGCAGACTCTGCAGTGCCGGTTCGATCCCCGGCCGCCAGCAAGGGTCCCACATGGCGCGCAGACCTCTCCTGCCACGCCCGCTGATCCCCTCAGCAGTGTATTTCAGCCTGTTCTATTCCCCACTCTGACTCTGGTGAATTCTCTCACCCTCCCACGCTTCTGACTGTACCCAGTGCTTGTATAAATAAATAAGTAAATAAATCTTTAATGAAAAAAAATTAAAAAAGCAAAACCTTCCCTTTGTGAAGAAATAATGGTAAAAAGCCTGAACTAAGAAAATGGCATTACCATTACCAAAGCAAACAAAAAAAACCACCTTAGTAATCATGATGTGATTTTGGGGGGCTGATATTAGGTATAAGGTACAAATCAAACCTGAAGTGTATAGAAAAAGGGAAAAATTATGGTAAATTTATAGTTACAAAGTAATCTGGAAACCAAGATTAAAACCATCTGTACCAGACAAACAGTAGGACTGTCGGGGCCATAGGGTGGAAATGCACAATATTGAGGGTGAAGTGTTAGAAGAAGAAATTAGACTTTATATTTGAGTATTAGTTTATAAACTGGGTAGAGAAACTGCCCCCACAAAGACAATACTTTTTAAAACCAGAAAAATCTACCCTTAAAGCTTTGTTTCTTTTCAAAGTGAATGTGCTATTAGCTATTACATGACTATATTTCATAACTTTCCAGGTTATTTTATAGTCTTTGACCTTAGGAATTTTTTATTCCAGCAAAATTTAAAAGATAAGCTGGTCTGTATTACCTGGATTGTTTTCTTTAATGGTAACTAAGTAGAATAAGCCTCCAGGTGACAAGAGATCTGGAGCCAGTGGAAAGAGTCTGTCCATGACTTCTCGACCTTTTCTGCCACCAGCCCAAGCGGCTTCAATTCCATGACTTCCTACCTATGACCAAACAGAAAGATTATTTTATTTGGACTCAACTTACCTTTAGAATTGCAAGCCAAATCTTTCTGACAAGTAACCATCACCGACAAGTACATATTTTGTGTATTACTGCCAGTGCGGAGGCAGTAAAGCTGAATCTGCATCCGACCATTTCTTAGCCTGAGTGCCCTTGTGTAAGTTTGAAATGTTTTGAATTACTCCCCTCTCTTTTCTGTAAAATTAGAAAAATGATTAAAAACATTGTTTTTGTTCACTGTTAGGAGTAAGGCCATATATCTGAAGTTTGCGGAAAGGGACCTTGCACTATCAAGGACTTAATAATTTTTTTTTTAAAGATTTATTTTATTTACTTATTTATACAAGCACTGGGTACAGTCAAAAGCGCGGGAGGGTGAGAAAATTCACCAGAGCCAAAGCGGGGAGCAGAGCAGGCAGAAGGACCGAAGTACACTGCTGAGGGGAGCAGCGGGCGGCAGCAGCGGGCGGCACGCCATGCGGGACCCTCCTCCGGTGGCCAGGGAGCAGCCGGGGATCGAACCGGTGCCACAGAGGCCGCGGGCAGCTTCGCAACCCAGCACTCAACTGCTGCGCCACAGGGGAGGCCCAAGGACTTAATAATTTTACTTAATAATAACTATTACTACTAATACAATGCTTAAACTGAGAGACATGGCTAATTCTTAATACAGCTGGTCACTGAAGATGTTGCAAAAATACACACATCCAGTAGAAACAGTACATCCAAGTTTGGATTCTGATCTTCCCCACATGTTGACTAACAACATGTGGCATGATGCTCTCGTAAGCCGGGCAAGAGCAGAGAGCCGCAGCTCCAGTCGGTACAGCCATGCGGTAAACAACCCGTACCCCAGTGTGTGCTGCGCTGCCAGCCTTTTTGGGGTACTGTATTTTCCCCATCATGTTTACAAAATGTCTATCTGTGCCAGAGATCTTCAAAGCTTATTACAGAATAGGCGTGTTAGATGACTCTGCCTAATTACAGGCTGATCTGTGTGTTGTGGGCCCTTTTCAGGTTGGTGAGGCTAAGCTATGCAGTTTGGCAGGTCGGGTATATTCAGTGTTAATTTCAACTTAGCAGGACATAACCCCATTGTAAGCTGAAGATCGCTATAGAACAATTAGGAAGAAACTAAACGGTACAGCTTGTATTAGAAGAGACCTACTTTGCAGAAACAAAGTTTTAAAATTTCCCACTGCATCTGGTCATCTTCTGATTACCTAAAGAATGAGCCACGCAGACCTTTTGTAGAAACCCATTTGCCATATAAAGGTGCACTGAAGCATTTTTTCCAGTGAAAATTTAATGATAGTGTAGAAACAAAACACAATTTACATAAAGATTAAAAATCTTTAGATCCTTACTATTGTGTATGTGTATTTAAAACTAAATTAAATTTGAAGAAAGTACTTAAACTACCCTAACAATTTGCTGTTTCCTTCAATGGTTTAGATCATATTCTAGATTATTTATATATATGTTCATGGCTTGTTTTTTAATTCCTTTAACATGGCATGTTTCCTAATAAAAATAATTTTTATCTATAACCATATGTAGTTTAACAAATGAGAAATATGTTCACACATGTACTTTAAAGCAATTGTATTTTCGTTTGTCTGACCCCCATCATCAACACACACACATATACACTTTTTTGTCCATGTTTCAAAAAGATATGATTATAGTCTCTATTTTACCTGTATCATGCTTTTCTCACTAATACCTTATGTGAATGTCACGTGATTAGGTGTAGTTCTAATTCCCTTTTAATGGCTGTATAATATTTTATGATGGAAAAGTATCTTATCTTAACTACTGGTGAGCATCCAATGTGTCCATTTGCTTAATAAATAAATTCTGGATTATTTACTTTGAATTATTACCCTATCTATCATGACCTGCTCAATACAGTATTTCACAGTTAACCATATTAGGAATTTATCAGTTCCTCCAGGCAAAACTTTCCCCTGGATACTTCCCTTTCCTACCTTTTTAAGAACCTCTTTGCTGGGGCATTTATCTCCCTCTTCCTTGCTTTAATCCCTTACTTTGGTGGAGCTCATACTCTGACTATTTCATCAGGTAAAATAGGGACAGAGTGCACAGTGCTGACAGCCTTTGCCAGGTCTGTCTCTTGTCAATTGCAATATGCACTAAGAGAGCTGCCTTCCCAGGGATGCTCAGTCAGGTTTTTCTCTGACACTAGAAATGACCCCATTAGGAGGATCACCTGGCACCAATCACATTCTTAAGGCCATTTTTACAGGTTTCCACCTCCGTGAAGGAGGAGTCATGTTTGGTGCTCTGTTGTCTGCTGCCCAGGCCTACTGTTGTGTCTGCTCCTGATCCCAAACAAATCCCAGATACAGACATAGCACCTCACCTCTCGGTTCTGGATATACTAGTAAGGATAGCAACAATTTTTTATCTACACAAACTCCTCTTATTATCTTGGCTCTACCCTTTAAATCTCTTATCTTTTTAATGAGTCCCTTCTTGTTGTCTTCATGCTTTGTGCACTGACATTTCTTTCACTTGGTTTTCAGACCAATAATTCAGGTCTTGACAGAGATCACATTCTCTTTTAATTCACCCTCTTAGTGTTTTACTTTGTAAAACATGTTTTAAAGCTCCAGGAAATGTCTGGTGTACTGCACTTTGTCTGACACAGCTAATACTTGGCTCACAGAAATTACGACACTCGGCTTTCTTTGTTGGACAGCGACAGAGCCCCAGGAACTGCCGGCATTCAGTTGTCTGTATGAGTCCTGGTGGCTGTGTAGCTCAGGAGAAGCAACTTAGTAGCTTAGTAGTAGGAACATGGGAGAAAGGAAGCCTATTTGACACCCATGTTCCCAGACTCTCCTCTTATTCCCAATAGTAGACCTCACAGGCCATGATGTATTAAACTGTCTGACTTCTGTTACATATACAAGTTCATATTATTTGCTATAGTAAATAAAGATGCAGTAAACATTTTCCATTATCAATTTTATTGTGGACTGTCTTAAATTAAATCTCAAGGATTGAGATCACTGGCCTTGAACCATTTTTATCACTCTTGATACTTATTCCATAGAGCTTTCCCAAAGAAGTGCATTAAGCTGCACTTCCCATTAGGACAATGAGTTTCCTTTTCATACACTCATATGTTAGCAGAGCAACAGCAATTTAGTTAATCACGGCTAGTTTCTAAAGTGAGGACTGGGACCTCCCTCAACTCCCTTTCTGATAACTATGAAAGGAAGAAATGCGACTTTAGGAAGAATTCTTTTGTGAAGATAAAGTTGATTAAAAATATTTTGTTTTATAAATTTGTCGTTTATGAGAAAGGAAATACACACACAAATATAAACATAATGGCTTGTTCTGGATGGAATTTTAAGGATGGGTCGGGATCATAGTTTTGTACTTCTATTAGCTTCAGGTTACATTACTCTGTCAATCAACAGTATCTAATCACGAACAATCACAAGTTAAATCCAAGCAGTTTATGTTAGTCAGCAACTAACTGATGGCTGATGCTGAAGTTCATTTGATTTTAGAAAGAAAACGCTGAGAACATTAGTAATTAAATGTCAGTTTATGTCTTACCTCTTCAGGAGGAGTCACTACATAGGGGGGATTAAACACCAGAAGATCAACTTTTTCCTTTAATCTTGGTAGCAAGCCTTTGACCTAAATGTTCAACAAAAATCAGAATTTTAAACCAGACTGAATTAAACAAATATTTAAAAATATACTCGTGTTTTTAGAAAAATGTAAGAAGGTCACACTAACAGAAATGGAGATAAATATTTTAGCATTTTCACTTATAAAAATTATATACATTTACCTAAAAAAAAAAAAAAGGAAATTAAACTACTTAACAGAAGGAACTTCAGGTAAACTTCTGCTCCTTAACAGCTTACCTGTTTACACTGTAGTTTCATTTTTAGATGAAATGAGGACACAGACTTTAATTCTGTAGCATGTGTCCATTATAGCTCTGTTTGTAACTTTAAAGCTGTAGTTGCAACTAACCAGTTATGTTCTATAACCTAGAGAAATGTTCTGTGAAATGACAGAAAATATCAGAAGACGGAGTTTTCTTTCTAAGTCTTTAATTACTTGCAAATATACTGACTGAAATAATATCAAAAAAAAAGACAAGCTGAAAATACTGGGGAAAGACACTGAAAATACCAGTTGTTTGGCATTTTATAAATCTTTAAAACAGGTATAATTTTCTGTATAACAAGAAAAAAGTGTCTTTTTAAAGAAAAAGGATTGAAGGCAAGATGCCATTTAAAGTATTCCTCTGGGAAGTAAAAGAAATGCAGGAGATCAAAGAATTAATGGAAGAACTAAAGAATTCTGGAAAAGCAATGAAAGCAGAATTGATGAAATAGAAGAACGAATAAGTACTCTTGAAGACACAGAAATAAAAAGAACCAAAACAGAAAAGGAAAGAGAAGTACGAAGGAAAAAGAATGAAGAAAGACTTCGGGAACTATCTGACTCCATGAGGAAAGGAAATATAAGAGTTATAGGAATACCAGAAGGAGAGGAGAGAGAAGTAGGAACAGAGAAAATATTCAAAGAGATAATTGAAGAGAACTTCCCAATGTGAAGGAGGAGCTGAAAATTGATATACAAGAAGCAAGAAGAACACCAAACTTCCACGACGAAAGGAAAAATACAGCAAGACACATAATAGTAAAGCTCCCAAGAATCCAGGACAAGGAAAAAATAATGAAGCTGGCAAGAGGGAAGAAACAGATAACATTCAAAGGAAAGCCAATCAGGCTGACATCAGACTTCTCCGAAGAAACACTACGGGCAAGGAGAGAGTGGAGGGACATAGTCAACAGACTCCAAGAAAACAGATGCCAACCAAGAATACTCTATCCCGCAAAGCTCTCCTTCCTCTTTGAAGAAAGAATATGGACTTTCCCAGACAAACAGAAACTCCGGAATTTCATTGCAACTAAACCCCCACTCCAAAAAATACTACAAGGAGTCCTAAAGCCAGAACCTCAGAGGGACGAATAACAATGAAAGAAGGCCAAAAAAAAAAAAAAGTTATTAAAAGAATAAATAAATAAAATCAAAGGAAAGACAAACACAATGGCAAATACAGATGTTAACATATCAATATTAACTCTAAATGTAAATGGACTAAACTCTTCAATAAAAAGACACAGAGTTGCAGCCTGGATTAAGAAACAAAACCCAACCTTTTGCTGTCTCCAGGAAACACATTTAGCTACAAAAGATAAAAATAGGCTCAAAGTTAAAGGATGGAAAACAATCCTACAAGCAAATGGACCAAAAAGAAAGCAGGAACAGCTATACTTATATCAGATAAAACAGACTTCAAACTCAAAAAGATAAAAAGAGACCCCAATGGTCACTACATTATGATCAAGGGGACAATACTTCAAGAAGAAATAACACTCATTAACATATACTCACCAAACGAAGGAGCACCAAAATATATCAGACAACTGTTGTCCTCTCTGAAAACAGACATCAGAGAAAACACATACGTAGTGGGAGACTTCAACACACCACTATCAACAATGGATAGATCAACAAGACAAAAAATAAGTAAAGAAACCAAAGCTCTAAATAAGGACCTAGAGCAATTGGGCTTAACAGACATCTATAGAACACTAAAACCCCAAAAAAAACGGAGTACACATTTTTCTCAAGCGCACACGGATCATTCTCCAGGATCGATCACATACTGGGCACAAGACAAACATCAACAGATACACCAAGATTGAAATCATATCAACCATCTTTTCTGACCATGAAGGCATCAAACTAGAAATAAACCATAAAAAGAAGGCAAGGAACTTTCCTACCTCATGGAGATTAAAACCACACTACTGGAAGACCACTGACTAATGAGGAGATGAAAGAAGAAATTAAAAAATTTTTGAATTGAACGACAAGGAGGACACCAATATCCTAAATGTATGGGATGCAGCAAAAGCAGTAATAAGAGGAAAATATATAGCAATAGAAGCTCACATCAAGAAACAAGAAAGAACTCAAAGAAACAACCTAATCTCGAAGCTCAAAGATCTAGAAAAAGAACAACAAAAAAACCCCAAAACCAGTAGAAGAAAAGAAAAATAATAAAAACCAAGGCAGAAAAAATGAAATTGAAACTAAAAAAACAATCCAAAAGATCAATGAAACCAAGAGCTGGTTCTTTGAAAAAATCAATAAAATAGACAAACCCCTAGCCAGGCTCACAAAGGAAAAAAGGGAGAAAGCACAAATAAACAGGATCATCAATGAAAGAGGAGAAATCACAACGGACACAGCAGAAATCAAAAGAATAATCAGTAACTACTATGAACAGTTATATGGAAACAAGTTTAACAATCTAGAGGAGATGGACAAATTCCTACAACTCTACAATCACCCAAAGCTAGATAAAGAAGAAATAGAACACCTAAACAGACCAATTACAATTAGCGAAATTGAAATGGTAATCAAAAACCTCCCCAAAAACAAAAGCCCAGGACCTGATGGATTTACAAATGAATTCTACCAAACATTCAGAGACGAATTAGTGCCTATCCTTCACAAACTCTTCCAAAAAATTGAGAAGGAAGGGACAATACCAAACACGTTCTATGAAGCCAACATTACACTAATACCAAAACCGAATAAGGACAACACAAAAAAGGAAAACTACAGGCCAATCTCCCTAATGAACACTGATGCAAAAATCCTCAATAAAATTTTAGCCATCAGAATCCAACAATGTATCCATAAGATAATTCACCACGACCAAGTAGGATTCATTCCAGGGACACAAGGATGGTTTAACATCTGAAAATCAATCCATGTTATCCAACACATCAACAAAAAGAAATATAAAAACATATGATAATATCAATAGATGCTGAGAAAGCTTTCGACAAAGTGCAACACCCATTCATGATAAAAGCCCTTGAAATTCTTGGATACAAGGAACATACCTCAACATCATAAAGGCCATCTATGACAAGCCAACAGCCAGTATCATTCTCAATGGTGAAAAGCTGAAAGCAATTCCATTAAGATCTGGAACAAGACAAGGATGTCCACTCTCACCACTGCTTTTCAATATAATACTGGAAGTCCTAGCCCAGGGCAATAAGACAAGAGAAAGACATCCAAGGAATCCAAATAGGAAAAGAAGAAGTCAAACTATCACTATTTGCAGACGATATGATATTATACATAGAGAACCCCAAAAACTCCACAGAAAAGCTAATTCAACTCATCAATCAGTTCAGTAAAGTGGCAGGATACAAAATCAACACGCAAAAGTCAGTAGCCTTCCTATACACAAACAATAAATCTGAAGAAGAGAAATCAAAAAAACCATCCCTTTCGTTATTGAAACAAAAAAAATCAAATATTTGGGAATAAATCTAACAAAAGAGGTAAAGGACCTATACAAAGAAAACTATAAAACAACTGTTAAAAGAAATAGAAGAAGACACAAAGAAATGGAGAGATATCCCTGCTCATGGATTGGAAGAATAAATATTATTAAAATGGCCATCCTTCCAAAAGCAATATACAGATTCAATGCTATTCCAATCAAAATTTCAATGTCATTCTTCAAAGAAATAGAACAATTATTGATGAAATTCATATGGAATCACAAAAAAACCCGAATAGCCAAAGCTCTCCTGAAAAAAAAAGAAGGGAATGGAGGCATCACACTCCCAGACTTCAAACTATACTACAAAGCCATAATCATCAAAACTGCATGGTATTGGAACAAGAACAGACATACAGACCAATGGAATCGAATAGAAAATCCAGAAATAAACCCACAGATTTATGGTCAACTAATCTTTGACAAAGGAGCAAAGACTATGCATTGGAGCAAGAAAGTTTGTTCACTAAATGGTGCTGGGAAAACTGGGTCGCTACATGCAAAAGAATGAAGCTTGACCACTACCTCACACCATACACAAAAATCAACTCAAAATGGATTAAAGAACTAGACATAAGACCTGAAACCATAAAATATATAGAAGGAAATATAGGCGAAACACTACGTGATTTGCACATCAAAGACATCTTTACAGACACATCACCCAAAGCAGTGATAGTGAAGGCGAAGATAAACAGCTGGGACTACATCAAATTAAAGAGCTTCTGCACAGCAAAAGAGACAATAACAAAAACAAAGAGAAACCCCACCAACTGGAGAACATTTTTGCACCCAACACTAATGATAAAGGACTGATCACAAAAATCTGCAAAGAGCTGATGAGACTCAACAACAACAAAGAAAATAATCCAGTCAAAAAATGGGCAGAAGAGCTAAAAAGAAACTTCTCTGAAGAGGAAATGCAAATGGCCAACAGGCATATGAAAAAATGTTCAACATCACTTGTCATCAGGGAAATGCAAATCAAAACTACCATGAGATACCATCTTACACCAGTGAGAATGGCACATATTAAAAAAACTAGCAACAACAAATGTTGGCGAGGGTGTGGAGAAAAAGGAACTCTTCTGCACTGTTGGTGGGAGTGCAAACTGGTCCAACCACTGTGGAAAGCTGTGTGGAGATTTCTGGACCTACTAAACATAGAGCTTCCATATGATCCAGCAATTCCACTCCTAGGTATTTACCCAAAGGACACAGAAGAAACATCAATTCCAAAGAACGCCTGCACCCCTATGTTTATAGCAGCACTGTTTACAATAGCTAAGCTTTGGAAACAACCCAAATGCCCAAAATAGATGACTGGATCAAGAAGATGTGGTACATATATACCATGGAATATTACTCAGCATTCAAAAAAAGATAAACACATGCAATTTGCAGCAACATGGATGGCGCTGGAAGGGATCATGCTCAGCGAAATAAGCAAAAAGAAAAAGAAAAATACCGGATGGTCTCACTCATAGCAGGAATCTAGAAAACTTAATAAGGGACCAGGAAAATGAATAACTATAAGAAAGTGAAAATCAAAATCAACAAAAAACTATGAACCAGAGACACTTTTAGGGGGCAGGGGCGGGAGGGGAGGGATTGGGTCAGAATGGGGCGCTGCAATTGTATGGGGAATATAACAATAAAATTTATTATCTAATAAAAAAAAAAATAAAGTATTCCTCTGATTGAGTTTTCAAATATTCTAAAACCATCTCTGATCATATTATCCTGATCCTTCACAGGAGCAATGATGTAAAAACACTGTGTTCCTGGGTGAGTTCTCACCCCTACAGTCATTTCCTCCAATTATCTCTTGCACCAGCTCTTACCCATGTACTCAGAGCCTGTTATTTGACATGGGATACTGAAGTATCTGATGGCAGTCTTTAACACTTTATTACATTGACATTCTCACAATTTTCCCACATCTGCACACGTATCTATCATTAATTACTGGATATTATTCTTTAAATAGATTTTTTTTGTTAAATAAATTTGCTGTAAAGGGTGACTTACATTAAGTTCTATAAATGGAAAATTGGTCTTTCTGGAAAAAGTGACTACAAGAATAAACACAATATAAGTTAAAATATGCTATTTCCATTACTGTTGCTAGGATAGGAGTGACCCAAGTTAAAGAGTATTTGTGTTTTTAAAAGGGGTAAAGAGTAGCACCAAAATGAGCCCTTCTCCTTGATGTCCTGAGAATGCCTGGAAGAGAATTAACGGGGGAACAGTGCCTATATCGTGATTCAAAGTTATTTTACTACTCAGTCGTACCACCTGAGTGTTGGGTATTTTAACTACTAATACGCATTGTGAGACTCTGCCTTAGAATTTCCATCTTATCCAGCCTTCTAAAACATTCCCATGTTTATCATCCTAAAAAGCCTGTTAACAATGTAATTCAAAGAGAACACATAAGCAGTATCTCTGAAGAGATATATACAGAGGTAACCTTTCTCATTTAAAAAAAGAAAGATGAATTTTCGGTTGGGGGAAGGGAGAGTAATTCAGGTACACCCTTATGTGCAAGAAGAAGGGGACTAATCTTAATCTGCTCTCCCTACGAGTAACAGCATTGGTGAAGACATGTATTTAAAATAACTGAAAGCTTTGTTTTCAATTCCATAAATGAATTATGGTTCTCCAATTATAGAAAGAAGTCCAAAATGCAATTTTCCAGACATTTTTGAGAAAGGAAGTTACAAAAGAATTTGCTCTGTTACTGTTTATAATGACCCTGAGGTATTATATACTAAGAACCATTGTAGCACTGAATTTGAAATAAAAGGAAAAACTGATGGTAAAAAAATAGAAAGTTTTGGCATTAAAAAGAAAATGGTAATAATTAAGAAAGTCACTGTGAACTGGATATAAAGTCTAATTACAGACACCCTTAACCCATCCATCAGCTTTTGGATAGTCTGACAGCACTGGAACATACCCAAAAACTGGGAAAAAGGCCTTTGATGAGAAGTTTTAAACTCGTATGGTAAAATGCACATACTTTTCTCATATGAGAGGAACTTAAGAGCCCCTTAACTCTTAGCTTAAATGCAAGAAAACTAAATTAGTTATATGGTATTCTCACAGAAAGTACCTGAAGAGAAAAAGTGAAATATGATAGCATGAAGCAAGTAAAAAGACAGAGAAAATAAAAACTCAGAATCATTGCAGGCGAGGGCTACCAAGGCTAAAGAAATGCCCGAAGTGGGCCTCCCTGGTGGCACAGCAGTTGAGCACTGGGCTGCGAAGCTGCCCACGACCTCTGCAGCGCCGGTTCCATCCCCGGCCGCCTGTGAGGGTCCCACATGGCGCGACAGACTTCTCCTGCTGTGTCCTCTGCTCCCCTCAGCAGTGTGTTTCGTCAGTCTGCCTGTTCTGTTCCCCTCTCTGGCTCTGGTGAATTCTCTCACCCTCCCACGCTTCTAACTGTACCCAGTGCTTGTATAAATAAATCTTTAAAAAAAAAAAAGAAATGCCCGAAGTCTTCATCATCATAATTAGCACAAAGTAATAACTGCTATTCATGTTGTAGGGTAAGGTAAAAAGTATCAGGCTTTTCTGCCCTCCTGCCATTAGGATAGATGACGGAACCCTGTGGTCCTGAATGCATGCCTGATTGCGGGCACCTGGAATAGGGTGTGGGCATATGTAGATGGGATTCATCTGGGCTAAGACTGGGCTTATATGGGCGGCGTCAAAGGGACACCAGCATAGAGCAGAACCACGAGGAGAACTAACGGAAGAGCAGAGAAGCAGAGAGAACGCGAGAGAAGGCCAGAGAGCCCAGAGTGAAGACTGGCTGGGGGCTGGGAGGCCTCCCAGCCTCCCGGCCCCCCAGCCCCCTGCCTGCTGTGTACCTGGTAAATCCCAAGAAAAGTCTGAAAAAGCCACTTAGGGCTCCAGGACGCTCCTCCTTAAACCCGTCTGTTCGAATCATAGAGAACCTGCACTGTGCCCATTCCTGCCGCTACACATATTAATACCCCTGAATCAAAAAAAGGTAAAATTGTATTAATTGTATTTTGTTTATTTTATGAATGTAAGGAAATGTATATGACATATTTGAAAATGACATTTTTCAAACTAAAAATGAGATACAATCAAAGCGCTACTTCTAAAAAGGCAAATTCACCTGCTCAAAATAACGAGCTGATTTTATCTCATAGCTGTGATAATCTATGTCCAGTGTTTTGAAAGAGGCAAAAGTTTTCTAAGTTGATCAAGAGACATACTTCTGCCTTATTTCTTCTTTTTCCTGCCATGAGTCAGTATCATGATAATTTTAACCATGAGAGATGGCTAGGACCATGACCAGTCAGTCACACCCCGAAACAGCTGCGAAACCTCTAGATTTAGACTTAAGAGATGGGGGGATTAAATTCTAGATTTATCAGTTTATCAGTTAAGTGACTTTTAAAATATATCAAAAATATATCTCACCTCAGTTTCTGTTAAAAACAATAGACATCTGAATTTCTTCTATCTCTAAAGTTTTATTAAAAACATTTAATACTAATTATAGATATACTAAAGAAACAAGAATTTAAAAAAGCAAAACCCCTCATTGTTCTCTAATAAATCACTTGGATACATTTCTTGAGAACATAGTTTTAAACAGCAGTAACAAATTCTAGTAATATGTAGAGAATTTCTTATATCTTTGGCTTAATTCCTTGTTAACTAGTAATCATTTGTGAGTATAAAAAAAGCAGAAAAGCAAAATATCCTCACATCAATGTAAGAACAATAGAAATAATACAAGTCAAGAAACAGAAAGCGTTTTATCATGCTATTACTGTTTTTGCTTATAAAAATGGATTTCATATTTATAACTAAAAAAAGAGTCAAAGTTATCCAAATCTTACCTGGATTCAAAATTATCCAGGTCTTACCTGGATAACTAACAATAAAGTAATTTAAATATTTTTAAAGTTATAGCTGAAAATTTATGACACCACATATTCTGCAGCTGTCATCTTTTGTTTCTACCTGCCCAATCCCCCCATTTCTGATTACATCTTGTGAATTTTACTGGGGAAGCTCTGCTTCCTTTCATTTTCAACCCAAGTGGCTCAGGTAGGGTTGGGATAAACCTGGGAAGGGATTAAGACTGAAGCGTGTCATCCCCGTATTCCACTGGCCCCGGGCACAGGATGCAAGTTGATTCAAAGATGCTCACTTCGAGACTTTAACTAGAGCCATCAAATTAAAAAGAATGTCTTTTTGTGATGGATTGTTGAGTAATAAGACAGACATCAATAAGATACCAACAATGGAAAGACTGCTGAAGAACAGAGTCACTCCATAAGCCAGTAGACATTTTCTTTGAATTGTGGACAATATGGATTTTATTAAGAATTTTACTTTGTACACTGTTCAATGGCTTAAAAGGTTAATTAACCGCTCCATTTTCTTTCATCTAAATCATCTTCACCTAAACTTACTGGAGAAGGAAATTCATTATTATTGAGCAAGGATTAAGAACTCACCAAATCTGTGATTACTGGCTGAAGATGAACATTGTTACAGCGTGCTGTCTCCAGGGTGCAAGCTGCTGCCTCAGGGTTGATATCAGTGCACCTATACGCAAAAAAGAAAGAAAATTATATCCTATGTCCATGAGACAAATCTGTTACTGAAAGATTCAAGGAATCTTCCATTCCTTTTACAGAAAGCAGATTTAGAAAATCTGAATTCTTGAATAACAGCAAGCCAAAAAATAACAAAGATTGGTCATACTGGTAATAAAGATTTTTATATTGATATTGTGTCTAAGGGAGGATGAATACACAAAGATGCATGCACATCTGAAGGAATTTATTACAAATCCAATGAAGGAATACTATGTCCACCAAAAATGAAATGTAAAAGGAATTTTTGAAAGGAAAATGCTCACAACACAATATTAATGAAAAACATAGGAAATGAAAAGAAAAAAACTGAAGAAAACACACTTGGACCAATTGTTGTAAAATTGATAGGGTTTTTTAATTCTGCATACTTTCTTTATTCTCAAACTTTCCAAATAAACTTTAGTAACTCCATCTTTCTAAAAATCAAATTATTCACCTTAAAAAATAAATTTAAATTTAGACATAAGCAGAAATTATTAAGCTATTTCTGTAATTATGCAGTATGATGGAGCAATTCTGAACATGCAGTTAAAATTATTAGGAAAATTATACAACCTCTGAGTCCTATACACAGATACTATTGGATACATATTTTCAACTTAAAAAAGATTTCATTCGGGCCTCCCTGGTGGCGCAAGGGGTTAAGTACCGCACTATGAAGGAATCCGCAGCCTCTGCAGCACGAGTTCGATCCCCAGCCCGCCAGGAAGCAACCCACATGGCGCAGCAGGCCTCTCCTGTCTCGCCCACTGCTCCCCTCAGCAGTGTACTTTGGTCAATCTGCCTGTTCTGTTCCCCGCTCTGTCTCTGGTGAATCCACTTACACCCCTCTCCCCCGGCATCTCTGGCCTGTACCCCAGCTCTTGTATGCATAAATAAATAAATCTTTAAAAAAAAATTTCATTCAAGCAGTCATACCCATATTGAATCTCTTACTGGAACTTGTAGATGAATTTGATATACTTACACTTACATGTACAACGCTTGAGGACCTATCATAGAGGCTAGGAATGTGGATACAACTCCCGACCCTGACCCCACTTCAAGGCATATTTCCACTCTGGAAAAAAAAAATAAGTATTAGTACAGTGGGATTAACATACACATCACAAAAAAACAGCTCTCATGCTACTTTTAATGCTTGTTTCTCCAGCATCATCACCCACATGCAAATATATGGAAATATAATTTATAAATAAGGTAATTTCTGACAACCCCCTTGAGCTTACTATTGCTTAACTCAAAACTGTTAAAATTTTGCATGTGTGAGCTAAGTGTAAAATAGAAAAAAAAGCTTTCAGTTAATTTCCACATTACATTAAAACTTCAATTAGTATCTACAAACGTTAAGGTTGGAAATATTAATATGAAAGACATCAGCCTTTCCCACACTGAGCTCCTAGCTTAGTATTTCCTAATATGATCTGATTATTACAAATTTTTAAATATTTAAGATTTTTCTCTATTATTTTAAAGGGCATAATGTTCATAAATCCATCAGCATATCCTAAACGGAAAAAGGTTATCCCATTCTGATAATAGATTCAGAAAAGCAAGGAAATCCCCATATTTGTACAGCTGTACACTGAATTGGGAGAAAGAACCTAAGCATCTGATCTTAGAATATTGAAAACAAGCCTAAAAATTCTATTGAATACATTCTTCATTCTAGTGTATTTTATCCTTCAATTTTTTCTTTCCTTGCCTATAATCTTTCATTAAATGCCTTCAAAGCACTAACTATCTCCATTACAGAAGTAGATGTGATGGGTGCATGGACTTCTCTGTCACTTAACTACCCAAACAACTACTCAACAACAAACTCTAGATATAGTTTTTTAATTTTTGGAAGTAACCCACACATCCGACAAGCCTTAATATGCTATAGGGAGGCTGGTTGAATCTTACCAGGCAGCTTCTTTTGAAAATAACTATCACGGTCTCATAATTAGAATTCCAAGACCAGAAATATGCAAACCTGTATAACAAAAATCAGCTCCTTTTACATACTTCGCAGTGCATTTGTGCTTGTAAATCTTTCTGGAATATCCTGAGAATAAAAGTTATAAAATAGTGCTGTTCCATTCTATAGTCCAGTAAATCCAAAGATTTCTAAAGTCTTCTACAATGAAAAACTAGCTTAATAAAAGAGTTGGGGTATTTGACACATAGAAAAACCTGACCAAGTTTAAGATGGACAAATAAAATCTAGATCTGTGAAGCTTGACAGCTGCTTATTTCAGCCTGAGAAAATTCCATTTCAAGTCTTCTTTACATAAATTTAATGACCCAAATGCCTTTCATTGAAAAAAAATTACTGATTGAATATTTTTGTAGCAAGCATTTCAACAACTCAGTTTTAATATTTGTAATGCACTAGGATAATGTCTTTAGGGTGATAGCTGCATTAAATTTTTCACAACTAAACGACTGTTCCACAATCACACCAGCCACAATTCAAGCACCCAGTAGCCACGTGTGGGTAAAAGCTATTGCTAACCCCGACTATGCTATAGGATGGATAAATAAATGGAAATAATCCACACATTTCACAATCCTTATGTTGTCGGGAAGCTTAAAAACCTTAACATTTTTTTTTTATTTTTGCTCTTCTGTTGCTAGAGGGTGTGTTTATGTGTAAGTAAATTAAATAATGCCAGGCAGTTTTTACTATTTACTAAAAATTTAAATATTAACACCAAGGAAGGCTTTTGGTTTGGAATGTGTTAAAACAGCGATGCTCTGGGACACGCGTTCTCTAAGAGCTGACAGGAAAAGACACCTTCTGGCGAGGGCAGGGGACACGGCGCGTGAGGCAAAACGCCAGGAACGGGCGCAGCTCCTGCCGCGCGCTCCGCGGATGCCCGGGAAACGGGCGTGACGGGGCCCGGCGTCCGGTCACCGCGGGGACGGCGGAGACAGCCCCGCCCGGCCCGCGCCCTCTCCCGCGGGCACCCTCGCCCTCCTCGCACCCCGTGAGCTCCGCCGCCGCCGCTTCCAGCGCGTCCAGCAGCAGGAACGTGTCCTCCGCGGGCTCGTACACGTCCCTGAAGGCGCCGCGGCCCACGTGCCCATGCAGCGGCGTGGGGAAGCTGTGCGCCGCCATCTTGCCCGCGGCCATCCCATGCGCATGCGCCAAACCCCCGGCTACGCGAGGGCACCAGCGCGCACGCGCAGACAGGCATTAGGGGCGGGGCGCCGGGGACGGGGCGGGGCGCCGGGAACGGGGCGGGGCGCCGGGGACGGGGCGGGGCGCCGGGGACGGGGCGTGTCCTCAGCGTTTACTGCTGGTGGTTTGTCAGTAGATGGGCTTAAGCGTTTTTTACTACTAATAGTTTGTCAGTAGATGGTCTTAAGAGTTTGTGGACATGGGGCCTCCCTGGTGGTGCAAGGGGTTAAGACACAACCTAGGAAACAGTCCGCAGTCACTGCAGCAAGAGTTGGATTCCTGGCTTGGGAGCTACCCACATGGCGCGGCAGACCTTTCCTGGCCCACCCGCTGCGCCCCTCAGCAGTGTATTTCAGTAGATTCACCTGTTCTGCTCCCCACTGTGTCTCTGGTGAGTCCTCTCATCCCCTGCACCTCTGGCCTGTACTCCAGCTCTTGTATGCATGAATAAATAAATTAAAAAAAAACAGAAAATATAAAGCATCTTCTATCTGACATACATAAATATCAATTGGTAATCATTTTTCTTTCCAGGTTGTTAGTGTTATGAACAATATTTACTCTTCTAAACTGCTTTTTTCTGATGTTATTCAAGAGTTTCCTGGGGTTCAGCCCAGAGTGGATTGGCAGGGTTGTCGTGTGTATACTTTTTCGACTTTGCTAGTCGTTTTTCAAATTTCTCTTCAAACTAATTGTACTTGTTTATATTTTTGCTACCGCTTGGTGGCAGATTTTATGTGTAATATTGTTAAACTTGTTTATTTTACATTGAATTGGTGGAATTGTTAACCGAATTTAGGCATGTGTTCATATATTCATCATTTGACTTTCTTCTTTGACAAATCATGTGTTCATTTCTCTTATTTTATTTTGATAAATAATAATAAAATTTTATTATCAAAGTAGTTAACATACATGATGTGCCAAGTAGTTCTATTATTAATACTTTATTGTGAAAAATAACCCATCTATATACCCCAATACTCAATTTCTCATGTCTCATTCTCCAGAGATGACCACTTTCAACTTTTAGTTGTTTCTTTGACCATTTATTTTCATATATCAATATACCAAGGTGACAATAACGCTACTTGATATCTCAACTTTAGCGTTATCTTTTGAGTTCCTAAGATAGATGGTAAATTTCTCATGAGAGAAGGCAAGAATTTAATTCTCCTGCCTCCAGTAACACAGTTAATTGCCAGGTCCACCCTCCCCAAATTCCCAATATGGTTATGATTTTTTTTATCTTATTCTATGTATCTGTTACTGGGCAGAGTGAGAGTTACTCCAAGACCCCCAAACCTGCCCACGCTAAATAGGTGCTGCCGCATCAAATCAAAACATACTCTAGGGCATAAGACCTTTAATGGAAAGAAACTTTAATACAATTAGTGCGCAACAAAGAAAAGACAAAATAATATAGTTTCCAAATCAAACACCTGAAATTACCCATCACCTCATGGGTAAATGCCCAGCCAAACAGAGCTGGCCCAAAGCAGGACCGCTGAGCCTTGCCAGTCTGGTACCAGCTGGTGGGCACCCACAGGAAAGGGACAGAAGGGGCTAGACAAGTTCGAAAAGATAAGTACAAAATCAAAATCGAGATAAACACTGCCATTGTCAACCTCCGAACGGGTCTCTCACCCACATCCTATTTCAAGTTCTTCCTTCCACATCCTCCAAACCCCCGGTACAAGTACAAGGCTGAGAAGCAAGTGCAGCTTCTTCACATGTCTCTGCTCCATGTGCCCCCTCCAGGTCTCCTGGTTCTCCATTCTTCTTGCTTCCTTCCTCCAGTCTCTTCTCCAGCTTCTCCCCCTCCCAGCTCAGCTCTGTCCTTTCTTGCAAGGGGTGGGGGACCTGGAACCTCCCCTTTCCCTGGGAACCACCCTATTACATATCTAAATGATATTCACAATATCCATGCTGTTATACAAGTTCCATTTGCTTTCTTGCCCAACTTTGCTTTTCCTTAAAGTTAATAATTATCCAGTGTCTTTTGCTTCCTAGGTCTGTCATAACAATGATAACAACCTGGATGGCTTAAAACAAGAGAAATATATTCTTTCAGCATTGTAAAGGCTAGAGGTCTGAAATTGAGGTGGGGGCTGGTGGGCACACTCCCTATGAAGGCTCCAGGGATGAATCCTTTTATATCTTTTCTAGCTTTTGGTGTTTAACAGCAATCCTTGCTCTTCCTTGGCCTATGGCTGCGCAGCTTCCATCTCTGGCAAAGTCTCCTCATGGCTTTCTTCCTGTGTGTTTGTTGTATCATTTCAGTCTTTATTAGAGCACCGGTCATTTGATTTAGGTCCCACCCGATTCCTATAGGAGTTCATTCTAACTTGATTAAGCCTGCAAAGACCTGATTTACAAATAAGGGCACATATACAGAGTAGGGGTATGTGTTGGGTGGGGACATTTAGGACTTGAACTTTGGGGAATATTATTCAATCAGCAATGCCTATGCAAATGACAGTGTCAATTGCAAAGTTTTCTATCACAATTCACAGTCAAAATCTCTTCCAATTTTTAATCCACTGGGGCTCCCCCAGCCCCATTTAAATATTGAATATTCTAATTATTTCTATTTACTCTATTTAGTCACCAAAAAATATCTCTGGGGCTTGGTTTTGCCTCTTCTGCTTTGTCCCCAGGCTAATCCTCTTTCTGATACCTAGAGGACTGCTTTATACCACAAATTAAGTGGGAAAAGACATTTCAATTGCTTGCATACAAGTCTTATCATCATTCTTATTGACACCCCTGGGTCATTGCTCAAGCTTGAATTGATCCTGTAACCAGGGAGATGAACTAACCTCCCCTCACTTGGGACTGTAACGAGGTGGTCCCCAGGGAAAGGGGAGGTTCCAGTTCCCCCACCCTATCCACGGAAGGGTGGAGCTGAGCAGGGACGGGGAGAAGCTGGAGAAGAGATTGCAAGACGGAAGCAAGGATGGAGAGCCAGAAGGAGACCTGGAGGAGGCACATGGAGCAGAGAGACACATGAAGATGCTGTGCTTGCTTCTTGGCCTTGGACTAGTTGCAACAGATGTTGGTGAGAGACCAGTGGGGACGTTAACAATGGTAGCACTTTTTTTTTAATTTTTCAAAGATTTATTTATTGTGTAGAGAAACTGGGGTACAGACCAGAGGTGTGGGGGTGGGGATGAGAGGATTCACCAGAGACAGAGTAGGGAACAGAACAGGTAGACTGACTGAAATACACTGCTGAGGGGAGCAGCGGGCGAGACAGGAGAGGTCTGCTGCGCCATGTGGGTCAGCTTCCTGGCCAGGGATCAGACTCAGGTCATAGATGTGATAGCTCTGAGACTTAACCCTTAGGCCACCTGGGAGCCCCACAGATTTATGTTGATTTTGATTTTGCTCCTTCTGTCCCAGACATACTGAGCCCCTTCTGCCCCTTCCCTTTGGGTCCCCACCACGAGCCGCCTTAGGCTTGTGGCAGGCTTTTGGGCCTCAGTGGCCCTGTTTTGGGTCAACTCTGTTTGGCTGGGCATTTCCTGCTCTGTAACAGGACCTGGAGTGGGTTCTCACCATAACCAGATAGAAGGGTACCCCTAGAGAGCCTCCCCGGTGTCGCAGTGGGTTGAGCACAGCGCTGTGAAGCTGTCTGAAGCCTTTGTAGCGTGGGTTCTATTCCCGGATGGCCAGGGAGAAACCCACATGGCGTGGCAGACCTCTCCTGTCTTGCCCGCTGCTCCCCTTAGCAGTGTCTTCGGTCTGTCTGCCTGTTCTGCTCCCTGCTCTGTATCTGGTGAATTCTCTCACTCTCCCGCACCTCTGACCTGTACCTCAGTTCTTGTATAAATAAATAAATGTTTAAAAAAAAAGAAGGGTACCCCTAGAATGAAATTATGGTGCTGGTATGGGTGGTAGGAGAAAAACACAAAATGTTTACTATGTGGAAGTTTCTCTTGTTAATTGAAATAAAAGTCTTAATGCTACTTAAAATGTTTATTAGATAATTGAAGTGAGGATTTGAATCCAGCCAGACAGATTTTCTCTGTGGGAAATTGTTCTCTAAGTGTATTCTGAGTACAAAGATGCATGGGTTCTGGCAGATTCTGGGAAACATTCGGCACCCTATAAGTACAATATCTTTTTTTTGTTTTCATCCATTCACCACTTTGCTGGCACTTTTCTGAAGTATCAACCTTGGCATCAGCCTTTGCAATGTGTTGGAGATTGCTGTCTGCTGCATTTTGCATGGGTTTTCCCATTTTCATTTTTGGGTAATAATATGTACCCATGTGTTCTTTTGCATTATCTACTGTGTAAGACAAGAATATTTCATGCCATGTAAAGAATTCAGTCTTTAATTATTGAAAATAGAAAGCGAGAGAACGATCCCAACAATCACAAGTTTGAGTTCAGCTTTTATACCTTCTCACAGAATAGCAAAAGGAAGTTTGAGCCATTGATCATAAAAGTCTAATTATTCTTGACAGGGGCCTCTGGTTCTTGTTTATAGGTTTAGATCTTTTGATTTCCCAAGTTATTTTGACTAAAGAAATGTTGATGCTATCTGTATGCAGAGGAGGACAAGTGCTGGTGTGTAATAATTTTCCTGACTTCTAAAGAATGCACTGTGGAGATGCAAAGGTCATGTACCCATTTTTAAAAATCTTCTTGATCTGGCTCCTTGGTCATTAGTGGTGGCTGAAATGTCAGTTTATCCATAAGCATCAGATTCTTACATGCCATCTACCCAGAATTTTAAGATTTAAGTCTATGCATTTGGCTTTGCTCTCTTGACTCCTAGACCAGGGAATGAAATGTTGAAGTCTGCTATAATGATGGATACCTGTCATGTATCCTCAAAGCCCATAGAATGTGAATCCCAATGTAAACTGTAAACCTGGGTGTTAGCGATGTGTCATTTATAACAAATGACCTAATTTAAAGTGTGATGTTAATAGTAAGGAGGCCGTGTATATGTGTGTGTGTTTGTGTGTGTACTGTGCTACAGAGTGTGTATGAAAACTCTGTACCTTCCATTCAATTTTGCTGTGAATTTAAAATTGTTCTATAAAATAGTCTATTAAAAAAGCACCTAACACACTATTTCTTTGTTATTTGATTAGACTTATATGTGTACCTTTAAATATTTTAATTAAAATTATATTTAAAAGTAAAATCAAAAGATAAGCATGTTTTTTAAAAAGATTTATTTATGTATACAAGAACTGGGGTACCGGCCAGAGGTGTGGGTGGTGAGAGGATTCACCAGAGACAGAGTGGAGAGCAGAACAGGCAGACTGACTGAAATACACTGCTGAGGGGAGCAGTGGGCAAGTCAGGAGAGATCTGCCGCGCCATGTGGGTAGTTCCCTGGCCGGACTGGGATGGAGCCTGTGCTGCAGTGGCTGAGAATAGCTTCATAGGCTGTGTCTTAACCCCTTTTGCCACCAGGGAGGCCCGATAAGCATGTTTTAATTTATGAAATACATTCAATATTTACTGCCATTATCATAATAATTATTAGTTTAAACGTCCTCTGCAGATCATATAAGTTTAGTAATCAGTGATATTCACACTGAATTAAAAAAAAAAGTATATATATGCTTGTTCTTCTGATGCTGCTGTTAATATTCTGAAAGCACCTGGATCTCAGAGTATAGAAGAGCATCCCTCCAACCAGCACACACTCTAAGAGGTGTGGCTATCTGGCAATGCAACTTTGATCATATCAGCCATTTGATTTGTCAAAGTGATGATTCATCCACCAGTTAATTTCACAACCAGCTTCTTAAATTTGGTTGCCTTGGACACATTTTATCCTGGAAATAAATCTAGGCTCCATAATTTACTCAGAAATAGTAGGTTTATGCCTGTTTTCCAGCTGTACTGGTAGGGTTTACACATTCACTTCTGCACCATAGGAACAGCTGCTTGAAAAACTAAAATGTGCATCCAATTCTGAGACTTTGGCAAAATAGAGAGCCATGCAAAAAATGGAAAGAGAAAGATTCTCTTAGCCTGTCTGTAGTTGGAAAATTAATTTTTTTAAGTGCCTTTAAAAAATCTCTACAGGTGGTCAGATCTTAGGAACTTAGGACCAGCAATGATCTCATCATCTTCAGCTGGTTTAAAAGTTATCTTTGGCTGCAGCCTACTTTACAAAATCTTGTTAATTATGATTGTTTTTCCTAGTTATGAGTCCTTCTGGATAAATTTTTTAAAAGCATTTATTTTTATCACTTACATAACTACATAAAATATTTTAATTGGTGTCAAAATGTCATGTTATTGCCAAATAGATTCTATGTCAATTTCTAGAAATTATTGGAAAGTTAATTAATATTTGCATTTTAATGGCACTCTTGCGGTGGTATTAAATCATGATTTATTGAAATTCACAGCAGGATAATTACTTTGGGTATGTCCACCATAAAGTGAGAATAGTTACTCTTTGACAGCCTTTTCAGTTCATCTCTGTGGTTTGTGATTCCACGGTACTTTTCTTAAAAGACGAATCATGAATGAAATTCAGTCTTCCTGAAACTAATTTTTGTGAAAATGATTTTCATGGCTATGCATCGTTTACTTCACTTTTCATTACAACGATCTTTGAATTTAGGAGTTATAAACAGTCTTTCTCCTAGCTTAAGTAACTTGAGCCATTTCAATTTCAAGAAAAAAAAATACTTTAAAAAGATTAGGCAAGAAAATGATATTCCTACCTAGATTTTCCGTGACTCTCAGAGACTTCAGGTCGAGAAAACTCAATCCCCATAAACATTTCAAGAATGTAATTGCTCAAGTGCAAAGCTACAGTTTTGGGTAGAAAACACCCTTTTGGGGTTACACATTGAAACCACTTTTAGAGATCTGGGATGTGAACTTTCAGCAATAATCACATTTATTTTTTCCAGCCTGGAAGGATCCCCCAGTGCATGGGAGGCCGGCTCCTGGCTGACTGCTCAGGTCCGCCAGTGCGTGCATCCTCAAGCTCAGCCTCTGCTTTGCTGCATCCTGCATTTTCCTTCCTGTGCACGGAACCTTATGCCCCAGGAGTCTTACGTGCTTCCACATAAGCCATAACCCCCTATGGGATGGCATTTTTGGAGGTAAACACTTTGGGACATAATTAGGTCCGGGTAAGGTCATGACAGGGCAGGCCCCCACTAATGCAAGTAGAGGCTTTACAAGAAAAGATTCTTGCAGTCTGTTTTTGTAAGCATCTTTTAAATGGGTTTCTTGAAAGGAATTTTTTTTTTTTTAATTAAGGGAACACCGATTACTGATTTACATACTGTATATGTTTTAGGAGAGCAGGTTCCCATCTCTTCAAGTAAGTTATCCGACAACTGTCCCCCACACAGTTACCCAAATCGGCACCCCACAGTCCATTGGAACCCCCCACCCCACCCTTTGCTCCACCCTCTTTTCTGATCTGGTAGGCTTCAGTTCTGCAAGTCAGCAGCCAAGAGTTTGTTTTGGTTTTGTTTATTTGTTCCTTTGCTTTGTTTCTTTGAATTCCACATAGGAGTGAAATCATCAGGTGTTTGACTTTCTTCTTCTGACTCTTTTCATGTAACATAATTTCCTCTAGTTCCATCCATGTTGCAGATGGCAAGATTTCATCTTTTTTAAATAGCTAAGTAGTATTCCATTGTGTATACGTACCACATGTGCATCCAGTCATTTGTCAATGAACACTTTCCATAACCTGGCTATTGTAAATAGCGTTGTAATCAACATAGTGGTTTATGTATTTTTTTGACATAGTGTTTTTATATTTTTTGGATCAAAACCTAAGAGTAGAATTGCTGACTCATATGGCAGATCTATTTTGAAGAAATTTCCCTACTGTTTTCCATGTACACTTGCAACCATGTACACTTCCACCAACAGTGCATGAAGATTTCTTTTCTAGAACTTGCAGCCTGTGTCTTGTGAGCACACAGCAAATGGTGGCCATTTGCAAACCAAAGAGGCTTCACCAGAACCTGACCACACCAGCACCCTAATCTCAGACTTCCAGCCTCCAGAACTGTGAGAAATAAGTGTTTGTTGTTTGAGTCACACGGACTGTGGGATTTTCTTGTGACAGTCCTAAGCACAGCCATATATCTGCTAAGACAAGAGCCTTGTCTGAGAGCCTCAAAGCCTGGACACATTTAGAAAGTGCAGTGGAGGATTCAGATGGCTGTCTAGGCATTCAGGAGCATGTTTAAAAATTTAAAAAAAAAAATTAAAAAGCCTCAGTGCTTTCTAATAGTATCTGAAAAGAATTCAGAAGCTTATGTTGAAGAGAAAGCATTAAAATGGACAGCATTCCAGTGGGATCAAATTATATTTTTCCTGTACTGATGTGCTAAGGAAGAGACATTTACAAAGTATTTGCTCTTCTTAAGAAAGTTGAATTTGTAGTTTAAGTTAAGGAGAGTTCTGTGTTCTTACTAACATTCACATTAAATATATGTCAATTTGACTAAGAATGCTTTCTATTTCATGGCATAGGTTTAGCAGAATAGAGGTGACAGTAGGGTTATGAGTAGGGTTTATCAGAGATTTTATGATAGTTTTCTGAGAAAGTATACTTTTATGGTCTACTCATGCTACTGTGGCAGTAATTATTTAGGAGTGAGAGTGAAGATTTGCCCTCGTAAATTTGAAAAAGCAGCTTAAAAGTAAGTACTATAAATGGAAGTCTCTCTGTCCAGCCTTGACACATGTACCTATATTTGACTTTCCCCCAGCCATTAGAGCATATATTTCTTTTCCCCCCTGGATTTATTGTGATATAATAGACATATAACAATGTCATATAATTGTGATATAATTGACATATAACAATGTCATATAATTGTGATATAATTGACATATAACAATTTACATATAACAATATACGATTTGCTGTATGTGTACATTGTGAAATGACTAGCACAACAAGTTTAGTTAGCATCTGTCACTTCACAAAGTTACAATTTTTTCCCCTTAATGATGAGAACTTTTAAGATTTACTCTTAGCAACTTTCAAATATATAACACAGTATTTTTAACTATGGCCATCATGATGCATGTTACATCCCCATGGCTTATTTATTTTATAACTAAAAGTGTGCACCTTTTTTAAAAAGCCAAATTGTATTGATGGGTCATTCATTGACAAACCTGTTCAATTTCAGGAGTCCATCTTCACAGCTCAACAAGTGCACATCCTTCATTCACCCACCATCAAAGCACAGTAGACATCTAAGACTGACTATTTCAAGCTCCAGACATGTGTTGGTACAACCAAAAGCTGGGAGAGCTAGTAGTGAGCATACTGGCCTTGTCTGGTCCTTTACTCCCCCTCACTGCCCCCCCCCCACCTGTGTCTACTGAGCACTGGAAATGCAGCCAGTGTGAAATGAGATGTGCAGCAAGTGTAAAGTACACCATGAATTTTGTAAAGAAAAATGGAAAATTGCATTATGATTTTTAAAATCTTGATTGCGTGTTGAAATGATATCACAGCAGGTCCTCTAACCATATCATTTTATTCAATCTCATTTCATTATATTGTTGATGAGAAAAAAAATGGTTCTTGTCCAATGTAGGGTTTGCACATTCTCCCCAAGATTGTGTGGGTTTTCTCTAAGTTCTCTGGTTTCTTCCACATCTCAGAGATGTGAACCTGAAATTGACTGGCAGGTCTCAGTTGTAATGGGTTTGGGTGTGATGCACCCTGCAGGGGAAGAGCATCCTATCCTGGGTTGGGTCTCAAGTTGCTGAGCTGGACTCTGGCCACCCTGGACCTAAACTGGAATAAGCCTGTAAGAAAATGAATGAATGCAAATGATTGTTTAATATAAATGTGTTTTGAGTCTTTATTTAGGAGTCTGCTGATCCTTTCATGACCAAAGTATGCCTTAGAAACTTAACTCTTATTTACATTAATTAGTCTATGGTAATACTGGCTTCATTTTACACTGTTTTACTTAAATTCACAGTTTCCAAAAACCTATTGACTTCATAAAGTGAGGACTTACTGTCTTATGAATATATATTATGTTACATAAATTATTAAATTAAATTTCAATTCAATTTTGTATCTTGACTGTATCCAATGTAATTTAGCTGGGTTGTGATACACTACCATAGTTTTTGCATGATGTTAGCACTAAGGAAAAACTGGGTAACAGGAACATGAGATCGCTCTTGTGTGTTACTTACAATTCTGTGGGAATCTATGTTATCTCAAAATAAAAAGCACATTTATTGACCTGGGAAAAAAATGACTATTCTATACTATTAATTTTAAAAGCAGGTTATAGAGTAATATATATAATTAAAAATAAATTTCAATTCCTTTGTTCTTTTCTGAATGTGCGCTGAGAAAATGTAAATTATGTATGTACTATGTAGTCATACTTTGTTTTTCTGGGACAGTTCTGTTCTGCACAGATGAATACTATGCAATAATGTAAATGAACACAAAATAGAAAATTGACAATATCGGTTAATATATCATTGAGAAATGAACATACGAATGTAGCTGAGAGAATTAGTGGGTTTATTTATGCATATTTTATGCATTTTAAAACTAAAACCTCCTTTTTTTACAGTCACATCCTCCTAGAGTCTGATCTCTACCATTTCAGGTTAAATTGTGGTGGATTAAGTCAGACTGAAAAGAGATCTGAAGGGAAAGCCTAAAGGAATTTCAGGAAATACTATTGGCAGCTAAAAGGTGGCATTCTTGCAAAAAGAAGGTTGGGTTTCCTGTGGTGGATATAAGTGATTTTTGCACATGTTTTGTTGTCTTTTTTGCCAAGAAAGAAAAGATGGTCTATAAATATGAAGATATTACTATGAAACCTTCATTTTAGGTAATTTTCTTTTGTAAAATCAAAACATATATATTTTTTTCACCTGGTGTAGAAAAACTCACAGTGAAGCATTCAATAATAAAGAAAAAAGTTGTTTGCTTGGATGAAATCATCCGATGAAGCCATTAGGAGAAATCTAAGACTTCTGGATTCATAAGCACAAATGGTCTGCATAAGAACAGAGCAAGTTATCAAAAGAAAGCTTAGGTTAGGGCAGCTGGAGCACTGGTGACTTATGGTGTGGTTTCTGAATATGGAAAGAACTCTGATGGTTTCAGCATTGGGATACCTGTGCCTTTTTACCTGAAGGTAGGAAGGAGAGTTTCAAATCACTTAGATCTTTTTGTCTTCTATCAAAGGCCTCACGGGCATCTCTTCCTCTTCTGAAGAGACAGAATTTCTTTTGAAATCCAGTAAATGTTTCATGAAGGCATGAAGTCCATGTAATTTTCTGGGCCACATTAATATTGTAGGATCAAGAAATCTTAGGAAACTAAACAGAATCTATAAGCAATTATATTTTGGATGTTGATTACTTTAGAATTCAGTGAGGAAAAAAACTAAATATGTGTGTATTAGGAATATTTATGTTTGTATGTGTAGAATATATGTGTGTGTATCAGTAGATATATGTTATATATATTGCACCATATATTTGCATTAAATATACACATATGGATATGTAGTACACATAGATAGATGTGAAAACACAAAGCAAAGGGCCTCCCTGGTGGTGCAAGGGGTTGGGATGCAATCTTTGAAGCTATCTGCAGCTACTGCAGCACAAGTTTGATCCCCGGCCAGGGAGAAACCCACATGGTGCAGCAGACCTCTCCTGACTCGCCCGCTGCTCCCCTCAGCACTGTATTTCAGTCGATCTGCCTGTTCTGGTCACTCTGTTTCTGGTGGATCCTCCCACCCCACCACGCCTCTGGCCTGTGCCCCAGTTCTTGTATGCATAAATAAATAAATCTTAAAAAAAACCAAACACAAAAGCAAAGTATCCCTCCTAGGTATATACCGGAAGAATTCAAAAACACTAATTTGAAGGGATGTGCACCTGTTTATTGCAGCACTACTTACAGTAGCCAAGTTACCAAAACAACCTAAGTGCCTGGTGACAGAGCAGTGGATTAAGAAGATGTGGTCGATATACACAATGAACAATGAACACTGCTTAGCTTTTTTTTTTTTTTAAGATTTATTTATTTACGCATACCCAGAGCATACATCTCTGGGTACAGGCCAGA